CAAAAACCAATCCTTTAAATACATTTTCGAGTAGTACGATTTAATTTATTAGACTGTTTCAATGGTTTGTCGTGTGGCTACTTCCAACTTCTTAAATTCGTTAACAAAATAATTGTTGGTGAAGTGATTGTTGATAAAATGAATCAAACCCATATTTATTTCTACGTTATCAAATTCATGATTTTAATTGGTCAATCAACAAATTGCGTGAGTTAAAATTTTGTTCCCAGAATGGTTTCTTTGCTCATTTGCACATCCTCGATTACAAAACTTGTTAATATTAAGTATTTTGATATTTCGAATTATTTATTTGGAAGGAATTAATGGCAATAATCCCAAATGGGATGATTCACCCATACTGGGATATTAATCAATTAAATGTGTATATAAGGAACAAGAATTCGCTGTACTTTAAAAGTGACTATGTAATAAGTTAACTTAATAGTGAGTTTTTGTGTAATTGATACACTTGGGTTCTCCGAAACTTTGCTGTAATGTACCATTTTTGATTTAACAAAATCTATTTGAATCTACTAAAACAAATAAACAAAGGATAAATTTTATAAATTTAATAATATTATTTTGAATAAATTCTTTAAAAATAAAATGCTGTTTAAATTGACTATATACTACTTGTGTGATCGATTCAATTATATATTAACACGAAAGGAATAAATTAATTATTTTGCAATAAAAGCTATTTGTTTGTTTATTTATTGTTGTTTTGTGATTTTAATATTTTTTGTAATTTATTCATTTTGTTCAGTTTTATTCGTTTTATTTGGTTTTATTTGTTTATTCATTTTTATTTGTTTTATTGTTATATTGTTTTATTTGTTTTATTTGTTTTATTTGTTTTATTTGTTTTATTTGCTTTTATTCATTTTATTTGCTTTATTTGCTTTTATTTGATTAATTCATTTTATTTGCTTTATTTGCTTTGATTCAAATTACTATTATTCATTTTATTCAAATTATTTATTTTATTCAAGTAAACCTACTATTGGAACCACGAGGACAATTAATCCTTTGGGACACAGTCACTCACTCACTGTCCATATAATAATAATTAAAAATCTACACGCCCTTAACAGTTAATTTTACCATCAAAGAAGGGAATAATGGTGCTAATCTCTCTAAACCTCTCCTAATACAGTCAGAACTAGTAATCGTGTATATATATTCGTTTTATCAAACATCGTCTTAACAAGTTAGTTCTATATAGAGATATATTAAAAAAAAAAAAGCAGATCTTTCTAGAAAGTACCATTTTATTAATATATATATACTATACATATGATATGTTGTTATTTTTTTTTTTCTCATGAAATTTGTTATCAAATTTTTTCCTTCTTATTCTTTCCTTTAATTTTAAAATGTTCTCGGGATTATTTTATTATTATTTTGTTGTCATTTTCTTTATTTTCATTTTATTAACATTTTTATGTACTTATTTCTTTAGTTGGAACTTTTGGGCTTTTCTTGGAAATTCGCTAAGTTTTTACTTTTTTTATTGTTATATTGTTATATTATTATATCGTTCACATTTTTCATCGTTTCTTTTTTATATAAATTTTGTTTTTGTATTTCTTTCGATCCTCTTGGCCTAGAGTTGATCCTTCCTTGCTTTTCTCTTGTCGGTTCTCTTTTCTCTCAGTAAAAGAAGAACTGTGGACCGATACCCTTTTGAATTCCTTTTAATACCCATTTCTTTGATCACCGGATTGATCCTAACATTAATTTATGAATTTTTAAATCTTCCCTTTCTTCTGTTTACAAATTTTTGTTCGATTATCCGTTTTCTTTACTTGTTACTGGTTTCTTTGACGTTCTTCCAGTTTATCGAAAAGAATTGTCTTGTTAGTGGCTGGTGGCCATCGTTTGGTAGGTTTTTATAATATTTCATAATCCCGAGAAACACGAATTTTGTAACAAGTATAATTGATACTATGAGTAATAAAGTAAATTTTGAAATGTATTTAATATTTATTGATTCGTATTTATTGATGTTTATGACAATTATTACTGTTATTGTTGTTATTGTATTATGATTATTATAATCATTATTATGCGGGAGAGCGAAATAATTGATAAATTGAACGGATCAGGCTAAATAAGCCTTTACCAGCGCGAATGGTTTTAGGTTTTATTTAATATGTGTTTATCAAGTCGAAAATTTGTTCTCAAACCAAGGCTTTGCGATAACATGTAACAAGCAATTTTCTCATATATAATCATTACGTTTTTAATACGCGTTTTATTCTATTATTGATATTACTGTGTATTTACTATTACGCGTAGTTAAACAAAAACATCAATTTAACACAACCAACTCCTACATATCAATGTTGACATACCACTATTTGTTTCAAACTCAGACACCAAAGACAATTCGAACATGGTTTGATCTTTTTCATTTATGAAATGTAATATAATAATAATCAAAGAACAATTATTTATATAATTGTATCGTAATAGTTGAAAGAAAACATACGGGAAAGTTTTTTTAGCTCCATACAAATTAATTATTGAAACTATGGAAAAAAAAAATCTCCATCAATAAATTGAACATTTTTTGACAGCGCTGATACGCTTTACAATTTTGCGTTGGTTTCTTTGTTTTTTTCACTGTCTTACAAAAACAAAAGCGTTGTATATAGGAAAAAAATGCTTAATATTAATATATGGTTTTTATCTATAAAAATGGAAACGTTTTTTATCTCTTGTAACCCAATGTAGTTGTAAATATTCTTGCTGCTTTGGATAATTGGATCGAGGAAGACCAACGTATAGATGATTGTGAGGAGGAAATCGAAAATTTTGTTAAGATACATGGAAGTGCGTTCCTGAAGATGATGGTGAACGATTAAGAATACTTTATGGTTTGAAAATAAATTGAGACAATGGGCTGGGTCGAAAATAGTTATGATGTTCACTACAGTACGGTGACATGTGTCCGGTAAACAAATCTCATTTTTGTGGTAGTTACATTAATAAAATCAAGAAGAATTTTCATGGATTCAAGGATAGTAGTGTTAAATAAATTATCAAAATTAAAGATAAAACGACATATTCTTAAATATTTCACTAAACAATTTACGCAAGAAAACTAAAAGGCCATATATATTTAAATTGCCCAAATTTTTCGGTATATTCATTTTTTTTCAATTATAATAACTATTACTAATAGTAATATTTCTTTTATTGTGATTACTATTGCTATCATTGTAGTGGATGTGGAAATTAAAATGCATAAAGGGAGGAAAGTTTTGGATTCGAATGGAATTGAATTTGATATTCATTGGAAAAAGAAAATAAAAAACAATTATAAAAAAAAATTATAAATAAAAATTTTATGGTGTTGGTGCCAGAAAGCAAACAGCGCAACTAGCCATACATGCGCCTTGGGCTATATTGCAGGCAATCGCTGCAGGTGGTAAAAGCAACCCTCCTGTAATAATAATAATAATAACAATCAATGCAACTATAATCAATAAACAGAATAAATAAATATTAGAAGTTGTGTATATTTACCAGCCACAAGACCAGCTGCTGCGTAGCAGCTTACCCACGCCGCGTTACACGCAGTCTGACAGCACCCGTACGCAATTAAACCCGCGTTTACTTGCAGTGAGATGATGAGGATGATAAAAATAAGAAAGATTTGGTTTTTTAAATTTTTAAACATTTTTTATAATATAATTTTTAAAAAGAAGGAAAGATTTGAAAAGTAATTTTATTTTCAAAAGATTGATTTTATTTTTTTTTATTTGTAAAGAATGATAAATAAATAAAAAGTTTTGAAAATATGTTTCTTTTATAATGGGTTTAAATTTTAAATTAATAATAAAGACACTTCGATTGGAAAAAAATTACATCATATATTTGGAATTGGGCGTAGAGATCGAGAACCAGGCTGGTCGCGTAACCAAATCAACACTGGCTAAACTGACTAAGTCAAGTTTAGTCAAGACAATTATTACTAAATTAGTATCTAACATCTTTACTCTTCCGGAATTTGAAAAGTAAAAGGTGATTAAAACCGGTTTTGCGAATATTATTATAATAATGGCGAGGGAAATAAATAAATAAATTTGTTAATCCCGCATAGTTCGGATTACGAAATACTTAAAGTATCGATTTAAAAAGTAATTTCTCACCAAAGCCATTTTAACGATTTGACTAAATCAAAAACCTTTGACGTAAGTAAAATAAATTAAAACCGCTTGACGGTGAGTAAAATAAATTAAAACCGCTTGACGTGAGTAAAAACACCAATGAAACTAAAATAATTAATTTGCAAATACCAATCAATACAAATGGTTTTCTGTCGATCAATTTTTATAATAGCACCTCTTGACAATCAATTTAAAGGACATATCTATTATTGTTCAATTAAAGTGGGGACATGTCAATATGTAACACATACTATAACTTTTACAGATATATTTTTTAACACTTTTTTAACTTAATTCCAGTTGCATCCGTCGGCATCCGCAATTTTGACATACTTTACCTAGTACTAGCATTCCCAATATAGTATTATGTGGCAGATGTGTAGGTTCTGAAGTATAGAAAAACAAGTAAAAATAAAACAGAACTGGGAATTGGGTGGACGAACTTGTTATCTTTTAAAACATTTTCAAGGTATAATAGTGAAAAAAGCCAAATGTGCACTTTGTAAAGAAACTAAAACTTTAAAACAATAAATGAAACTACCTAAAGGAAAAGCTGAAGGAAGATACAACAAGGTATTCATTCTATAATTATTGTTAAATTAATAGTTTGGTATAATATATTTACTTTGTATATCTATTTCTTATTATTAGATGAATAAATGATGAATAGTAGAAGGTGGTTGTTCTATAATTATTGTTAAATTAATAGTTTTGTATAATATATTTTTTTATTTCTTTCTTGTTATTAGGTGTGGATATAGAAACAAGATGGTCGTTCTATAATTATTGTTAAATTAATGTTTTGTATAATATATTTATTTTTTCTTGTTATTAGGTATGGATAATAGAAACAGGATGGTTGTTCTATAATTATTGTTAAATTAATAAATTTGTATAATATATTTTTATATCTATTTCATAGATTATAGAAATGAGGTGGTTCTATAATTATTGTTAAATTAATGGTTTTGTATTATTAAATAAAATTTGCTTCCGATATCTACTTGATAAAACTTATACATCTTCTCAATATTAAATTTTTGTGTAATCTATTCGGGCCAATCAATTTTTCTTTTTTGTGTAATCTGATCGATGAAAATCATTACCAATTATAAGAATGTCCACCATGCTATATAGAATATCCATAGAACAATTATTACTAGTTTCCTTGATGTATTACTACTGATTAAGAGAAAAAATTTAATCAATAATAATACTAATAGCAGTGAGTAAGAGGTAGATAATTATAGTGATATGTTAATATATAAATATCAATAAACCTTGACAAGTAGGAAAGAAACAATGTAGAAAGTAAGCAATTCTAAAAAAATCTAACCAATGTGCCGGACTAAATATTAATATACCAAGAAAATATTACGCACTATTATTAATCACTGTCAAAATTGTTTAATCGATAAATTCCTTCGAGAGTGTTTTTACAATCATCAACTAGTTATCCAAGACTTTTTTATTACATTATCGAATAAAAAAATAAAGCCTGATTTTTTTTTTTTTTGGAGAGAAAAGAGATGAACCTTTTAAAAATTCAATTTGTCATCACTCATTATTCCAGTTTATTTCCCTTAAATACGTCTAGTTAATGTCAATGACTGAACAGAATTTTGTAAAGCCAACGGAAACATTGTTAATTATTTGCTAGTTGTAAAGCAGCTTATCATCGTATGTATAGGAATGATGAAATTTTGAAGGGGTATGAAAGAAAAAGAAATTTAATATTATACGCACAGATATAAACATGCTTAATCAATTGATATATTAATTAAAATGGTGAATAATTTCGACGAGCTTCATGCGATTCATGCAATCACTTCCAAGCCACATGAGATCATTTATTTTTATTCCATGTTTTTACAATAATAGTAGTATATCTGACTCGCATGTATCATGATTATCCCTATTTATATGGTAATAATAATAACTATAACAATTACGCAAATAAGATACCTTCAACATGGTTTTCATTCTTGGAAAATACCTTATGCTTACTTGGCAGCCTATAAATTCCAACAATAATGATGCTCTACCATTAAAACATATTAGTAAGCTATTAAGTGATTTAACAAACAATTATGATATAGAAAACAAAGTTGGGATGAAAGAAGATGTTGTTAAAATTTTCAAAACAAGGTCTTTATACTTTAAAGCGAGATCATATTATTTTGTTCGAAAAGGAAAATATTTTCTCAAGAAATATTTAAGTTTTTTAACATACACTAACCTCTAAAATGTATCTGGACAAATGTTTTAATAATTTCGCAAAATTTTACATATGAAAAATATGTATGCAAAAAAATTTTTTATTAAACTACCGATTAGAAATAAAACGTCAAAAATTTTTTCCTTCGACTCGAAAAAAAATCAACATTACATGTGATAATATGGGTCTTGAATATTTTAGTTTAGGAAAGATTTTCACAACGATACATACTTACTATTACTAGATAATAAATAATAACATTCATTCATGTGTATATATTAATATTGTTTTTCATCTTTAAAGTTTTTATCATTATCTAAAATAGATGTTTATTTTTCAATGATTATGCATATATCTGCAATATTTGTATAAGAATTTGTATAAAAATGCTCTATTATTTCCATAAAAAAAAACGATATAAATATGTTTTCGGTTTTTTTGTACAAGTATTTTTTTGTAACCGGTTTCAAACCGGATTAATAGTAAATAATTATAAATAAATGATAAAATAAGTGATGGGCGATTAAGATCTTTAAAAAAAAATCTTCAAAATGTCTAATAATAGTTTTTCATCCTTAGAAGATATTACATACTTACTTAACAACTTCACGAACCCCAAGAATAATAATTATATACCATTAAAACATATTAGTAAACTATTAAATGATTTGACAAATTTGTTGAACATTACCGATTTTTATGATGTAGAAATCAAAGTTGTTGGAGTGGATAAGGATGACTTTAAAATTTTTAAAGCTCATTCTGCCATTTTAAAGGCAAGGTCTTCATCTTTTAAGGCATCTTTATCAAATAATTATATAAAACGATCAGATAATGGTGTTATTTCATTTACACAAGAAAATATTTCTCCAAAAATATTTCAAGTACTTTTAAAGTAAGTTAATTTAATCAATTAATTAAATAATAGAATTATTACAATATCATCTAAATTTTTTTTTCTTTTATATATATATATATATAAATATTATTTATAATTTTAAATAGTTACATGTACAATGGAATTATTAGTATTGATAACCTGGATGTAAATGAAGTTTTAGAACTTCTCGAAGCATGTGGCGAATTAAAATTTAATGAATTAGTTGATGATTTGCAAAATTATTTAATCGATGAAAAGCATGAATGGCTTTGCCAAAACTTAATTTATGTTCGTAAAGTTTTGTCAAAACATCCATTGTTTAGCTCACTTCAAGATTTTTGTAATAAATTAATTTGTGACGATCCGGTATCATTCTTAGAATCTAATGATATCGCAACAATTGAAAAGTCATTGTTTGTATCAATGTTGGATAGAGATGATCTGAAATTAGACGAGATGGTTATTTGGAATTATGTAATTCAATGGGGAGTAGGACAAAATGAAGCGTTGAATAAAGATGTTTCAGAGTGGAATAAAGATGATTTTAAGGAGATGAAAGATATATTGACTGATATTATTCCATTAATCAGATTCAATGAAATATCTAAAGCAAATTTCTATGAGAAAATCAAACCTTATAAAAAAATTTTTGATAAAAATATTTACGAAGAAATTCTTCAATATTATTTTACTGAAAATTGGCAACCCAGATATCTTCCTCAAAAAAATCCAAGAGAAAGAAGAAATGTATTATTAAATTTAAAAATGAAATCTTTGATTTCTGGTTGGATTGATCAAAATAATAATGAAAGTAACGTTCCATGTGATTTTGAGTTGATCTTTTGTGGATCTCGAGATGGCTTTTCAAGGACAGTTTTCGAAGAGAAATGTTACAACATTGAACAAACTGTAGTTTTAATGAAAATCAAAGAAACTGGCGAATTAGTGGGTGGATATAATCCGGTTCGTTGGAATAATAATAAAAAATCACCAAACCAATGTTATTATATTGAAACAAATGAGAGTTTTATTTTTAAGATTGATGGAAATCAACTTGATAATTCAATATTAAGTAAAGCCAAAAATCCTAAATCCACAATATATCATAATAGCCAGACTGTTAAACATACTTTGGATAATATAAAATTTCACGAGACTAGCATAAATTTTTGTGATTTGGCACTATGTAACAGTATTAATAACGAACCTTATTGTTTTTATTGCTTTACTAATAATTCTTACCAGAATAATTTAAACCTTGAAAATAATAAAAAAATTCATTTATTAGAAGAATGTGAAGTGTATAGAATAGTAGAAAAAAAAAATCAATGATTTTTAAATTAGTTATGTTTATACTTGAAATTTCTTTTTTGTATTTATGTTTTATTTGCAAATAAAATTTTTCTTTCAAAATAATTATTACACTGTACTTCACTTTGGTTCAGTTGAGAAGATTGTATTTTGCCCACGAAAGTGGTCATCGATATCCCAAAAGGATCGTCGAACTCATTGTTCCCAGGTGGCTGGGATTGATTGAACCATTATACTTCCGGGAGGTAAGATTTCGGATTCTATTTTTAACCTAATCGCTCGCTTCCTTTTCAAATGTAGTCAGCCGTTGCCCTATAAAGTATATAACTCTCTTTTTTTATCCGTATCCTTCAAAGCATACTGGTGACGTTTTTGCAAATTAGATAGCTGGTATTTAAATTCCTGGATCTCTTTTTCATTAGCTATGATCGTAGTATCTTGAAATGAAATGGTTCTATTGTATCGTTCCAGTTCTTTATTAAAATGCGGATTTTTTTTCTCGTTCGCTAGGTTTGTATCCGCTTCGATATTTAGCTTCTTACATAATTCCTGATTATTATTAAGTATATATGAATCATGCAAAGATATGTTTAACAGATATGCTTCCTGCTAACACGATGAAGTTGATAGAAGTGATCTTCAAACCATATATCAAACGTAAAAAGACCAATCAGAGAAGATAAGGCGACATTATCAAAGGGCACTCACTACTCTTTGATACTTGTTAAAGCCGGGATAATTGGAAGGTGGACGTACATGCAGAGCAACTGATACATACTTCTCATTGCACATTCATAAATTGACAAAATACACATTGAAAAATCCGCCACAGCTAGTCTTATATTATTTAGAGAAAGAACCGATTGAATCAACAAGACATTTGGTGGGATGTAATTCACGCTGGCCATTTAAGCTAGAACAATGCAAATCGTAGACACGAAAAAATTAGAGTACTCACCAGACGAATTTATCCAAAAAATATCATTATCAAACTCGAAGTACACCATTATCAATTGGAACAGTCTTGGATTCTCAGGTAGAGATCTACATCATATGGAATTTTGATGACATGTATATCTTGCTCCTTACAGATATTCCACTTTTTTTTTTTATCATACTTCTTCTACTCAACAAAATCTATTTGCCCTCTCTTATGAAACATTGGATTGAGAGCCTGCCATCAAATTCGAAGGCCAGTTTAAATTTCTTATTAAAATCGCCAAGATGTAATCTTTCTAAGAACTTAGGCTGGGATTGTGGGAATTCTTTTCCTAACAAATATTAACATGTCCTTTCTGGAATGTGGAGGAATAAGGACACCAGCCATAGCTTTTCATATTTAACTTTATTTTCAATTTCAAAGCAATAATGATGCCAGCATAAAATTTCTTTTAGACCAATAAGCTAAACTTTGTGTAGAACCCTCAATTGCATCCTTTGAGGAGTGCTCATCATATATCTCAATAGATTCTGCTATAGCAGTAGATTTAGTAAGATCTCATTTTAAAATTTGTTCAGTAACTTGATTTTTATCAGGCCCAGGAATTTCATCTGGCGAATATAACTCCACATCATCAGTTAGTATAGCTGACTCTGCTAATCTTATCTGTAGTATGAGAATTTTTTTAATGCATATGAACCAGTAATATTGCATAATGGCTCTGAATTTTGATCATTACCAATTTTTATATCACATCTTGAGATCGGGAACTCATTTATCATGCACAACATTTAATCCCCTCCCCTGTGGCTCGTCAAAAGGCCAATGTGGATCTAACATAATAGAATCCTAGATGTTGAACAATTAATAGTTGACTATTTTAAACAATTATAATTAGTATTAGCCAACTAAAATAATTGACAACCAAATAATAATTATTGTCTGGCCAATCATAAATAAAACGATTTTTATGGTTTATACAAAAAAATTTACCATTCAAAATAGAAATAATAATAATTTCAATGTGGAGGAGCATCAGTGTCATCAATTTCCAATTCTTTCATGGTTAGCTCAGAAATAACTTATTTCTGCCACATCTGTTCCCTTCAGATTGGTTGTTATCTGATTCAGATAATAATAATATGACTAATAAAGAACAACCAACCATTAGTCCAAAAATTTCAAAGAATGCATTTTTTTAAATAAATATTTTAGAAATAGTTTATTTTTTTATTATTAATAATAATAATTGTTAAAAAAAACTCCAGTTAACTAATATAATCAACTAAAATAGTCAACTAATACTAATACTAATACTAATAATCAACTAAATAATCAACTAAAGAAGTTTTGGCCAATTAGAATTCTCCAGAATGCAAAGTCAATCAGCATACTTGAAAACTTGTTCAAAATGTTTCTTTAACTTTGGGATAGATCCCGTTGCTATAAGTTCCAGTAAAGCTACAAGGTTGGGCTCAATGCTCTTTTTATTGTCAGATTAGAATAAAGCAGGGTTGGAAAATTGACTGGCCCATTGCCATTTATAAGAATGTCAAACCAAGTGTAATTGTGTTCTGATCAAAAGTATATACAGCCAGCTTTAACATCCTAAGAATATCTGAAGATTCATCCATCTAGGAAAAAAAACCTTTTGTGTGCTACTCTATTTTGGTGAAAATTCTACTATATATTCAACCTTTTGTTTTTTTCCCAACATAACCAATGATGATGGTGATGGTGATGGTAGTATCTTTTTAGACTTTACCCATAAGCTACTTTATTAATATCAACCATGAGAAATATTTCTCAGTAAGCATAATCTGAGCAATATTATGAATATCTTTGAACAGATAGAAAAAAGCATGATGCAATTGCATCTTCTCAGTATGTTCATAATTATAATTATTAATAATTGTAACATAATGGTGGAGAGACCATCTTTTGTGTAGAAAAAATTCAAAGTATTTTGCACATGGAGTATTTTCGAATTTTCTCAAACTAAACAAGTAGAAGTATTGGATATATCTTATGTTAAAAACTGGATGTAAAAATTGTAAAGGAAAATATGTTTGAAAATCACTTACAAAGAAAAAAATATGTACATGAAGCAACTAATCAAAACATATATAATCCCTTTATAGTAAATGTTGATCTTACCCAAATTAAGTATAATTTGACAAAAATTATGACATCATCAAAGCATGGCGGACATTCGCAAATTGGTAATGATTTTCGTCGATCATATTTTGATTTTATCACGAAATAACTTGTAAAATTATATTGATTTTCTTTGGATTGTGATAAAACTTTAAAACATTATATAAGGTACAATTATTTGGAATAAATAAATATTTTCTATTAGTTAAATTATATCAAAAATTTATTAGTAAAAAGGGTACAATATAACCCTCATTTTAATGGAATGACTGGCATATTATTATATGAAAATTTCATTTAAAACCCATTGAAACCTGTTGAAATGAAGTCCATCGAAACAAGGGTTATACTGTATAGGTGAAAAATGCTTAATTATCCATGCAGATAATTGCTCTGGCCAAAATAAAAATAATGCCATAATTCAATATCTTGCATGGAGAGTCTTAACTGGTGAACATACAAAATTCATTTATTCATTTATGGGTACCAGGTCATACAAAATTTAGTCCGGATGGTTTTTTTGGCTTAACTAAAAAAAGTACAAGTAGATGATTTGGGTGAACTGATCAAAAATGTAGTTGAGAAATCAACTAGAGGAAATTTCAATGTTGCTCAACCTGTTTTTAATGAAAATAGAGATAGAGAAGTGTTTTTTTATTATTGGACAGAATTTTTCAACAAAATGTTCAAGTCAGTGCCTAATTCATTAAATATTATCATTTTATTTTTGATAATGAATGTCCAAATATTATAAAGCAAAAAGATATTAAATGGTAAATTGGAAGAAATATCAATGTTGGTCTTTTGAAGATAACAGAGCTTAGAGAGAAATTACCAACAGGTACATTTATGAAAATGTCAAAAATCTTTATCATTTCTTTATTGATAATTGTTACTGTATTCTTTTTTAAAAAATAAAATTACTACTTGAGGTCTATATAACATTCAAATTTCAATTTCGTTTTGGCCCAAAAAGTCGGTAATCCGAACCCTTGGACTTAATTTGGTAAGGTCAACATTTACTATGTGAGGTATAATACTTTTCTGCTTATCGCGTGCCCTCTCTCTATCTTAAAATTTAAATAAATAAATTTACAATCATTTTTAAGAAAAATCACCATTTTAATTCTCAAAAAGTCTTAGCTGATATATAACGAAAAGTTTTAGACTGAGTGTTTTTAATGTTGAATGATTAATTTTAAAAAAATTATTATTTACAAAAAAGAAAAAATAAACAGTGCAATGAAAAATTGAATCAAAACTTAGTAATAAATAACAAAATGTCTTTCAAATAAAATAATCAAATTAATAAAAATAAAATAAAAATATATACCATTAATTTTCTAATAAAAAGAAACTTAAATGATCACAATAAATTGTTTTTTTTTAAAATATATTTACAAATTAAAATTAAAAAAAATCATTCATAATTTTTCTCTAATCAAGAAAAAAATTTTAAAATACAAAACAGCGACAACAAAATGAAAGATCAACTCTATTAAATGAACGGATAAATAAATGAATGATAATGAAAGTGTTATTATTATTCTAATACACGTGAAGATCTTATTGGTCTATTAAGTAAATATCTTGAAGTGCGCAAATGGTGGTTTGATCTATGATTATTGTTGAAATGTGAAAACCTATAGTTGTTAATTCTATGTCTAAGTTCATTTTCGCCTACTTTCATGCCATTTTCTATACATATATTCATTCGTTTAAAAAATAAATAAATTTTCATATAAAAAATTGTAACATCAGATAAAAAAATTAGTATTACCATTTTTAGCATCCATTATTTCACCACCGTCTACTATCCCTTCCTCTTTTCCTTTTTCTTCATTTACTTCATTTACTTCTTTTGCTTTTTGACATTGTGGTACAATATTGTTAAATTGTTTCGATTCACCATCAAATAATGCTGTTGTAGTTTCCGTTGGTATTATTAATGATGATTGAGATGACAATTGCGGTGACAATGATATTGATTCAATTAAAGCACTCAAAAGTATTTTAATAGGAAGATTTTTCATGAAAGAATTTTTCAAATTACACCAGTTCTGACTGACACCAATCAAAATAATCAAAAGTAAAATAAATAATAGACCAGGTAGTTTAATAAATGCAACCTAAAAAAAATTATTTTGATTAATTCGTAGAGTTGGAATAAAAAATTGTAGATAATTGTATAATCAATTACCTCAGAAGCTAAACGATCAAGTTTTTCAGAAAGTTCATTCAATTCCATCTCTTGATTAATTTGTTTATTCTCAATGCTTTTGATTGTAATTTTTAATAATTCTACATACTCTCTTCTCTGTTTAAATGACCAATAAATAAAGATTAACATACATTTACACATACACACACACACACTCACATATATATTTTTAATAGTTACAAAAATGATATAAACCACTTACTATTTCTCCAATTGTCTCATTGAAATGATCCATAATCACTTTCAGTTGACGTGATTGTGACTTTTCAATTTTGGAAAATACCTCTTTTAATATTCTATTATGCTCTTCCATGTAACGTTGTGACAATGTGGCATTTAATTCAAGAGCAGATATACGTGTCACAATTGTTTTAAAAATACTTTCCTGTGTTCTACCATTATTTAATTGTAGATTGATTTGTGAACCATTATCATCCTTAGTGATTTGTGTTGGTGACTTGGATTGTGCAGGAACTGCACTATTGCTAGTGGTAGCTGTTGTTGTAGCTGATGGAAGAGATGCCGATGTAGATGATTTAACTTGTGTATGTAAAGGCAATGAAGTCGAATCAGCTTGAATAGAAGAAGATAATGGTGATTGTGATGATGATAATGGAGTTGATGTTGATGAAGTTGATTTGGATGATTTAGATGATGAGGGTGAAAGTAAAGTAGAATTAAGATATTTTGGATAATTCTTTCTCATTTTAGCAATTCGCAATCTTTGTAACATTCTTGATGGAAATATATTCATATCTTTCGAAGTCAGTAAATCAGAATGTGATATATGAGTAGGTGATTTATCTGTATAGCATTTTCTTTCTGTTATAAAAGAATTGTCTGGTAGTATAATAATGGTAGAATGATTTAATGGTGATTTGTACTTTATTAAATACTTTTTGTTATGAGGATTTTTCTTTTTCAATCCTAAAGGATTTTTCTTTTTCTTTTTAATTTTATTCACCAATTCACCATCATTACTCTGCCTGTCCTCATTATTGGAACCATTATTATAATTATAATCGTTATCATATTTGTTAGAGGAATCAATTTGTGTATTACTGTCATTTTCACGACCTAACATTTTTGGTAGAATTTTATCCAATTCTTCTTCACTATCATCAAATGATGGAAGTAACTTCTTAATAGAGTCTTCCTGAGTGTCATTTAGTTGATTCAAAGAAAGTTGTGAGATCTCTTCTAGTTCTTTTTTCCATTTTTCTTTTTCGTCAAGACCATATACTTGAAGCAAGCTTACAGGACAATAAAATTGACTTCCATAATGACTTAAAAATTCAATACGCATAAATTTTACAAATATTAATGGTTGTTCTACTTTAAATACCTAAGAAAAAAAAATAAAAATTAATAAACATGGTAATAATCTTCTATTATTAATAATACTATCTATTATTTATTAATACTAATATATACCTGTATTTCTCTTGTATTTCTTGCACGATATTGACCCAGAAACATCCAATCATCTTTTGGTGGGTACATTTGACTGATGGAGACCCTAAAATCTTTGAATGTTGAAGAAAAGAATTCATAATTTGCCAAAGATATCGTGTCAATCAATATCTCACTGCACAATTCAACAATCACAAATTTATTTGAGGAACATTGATTGATCAGATAGCTATCTTTACTCTCTGATATAATTGCTGAGATATGTTTTGCCCCCTCATTAGCCTTTAGTGTCAATGCACCACATCCAAATGATGCATAATTGAACCTTTCTTTTAATTTACTAATATCAGAACCATAATATGGTCCATTATTATTGACAATATTATTATTATTGATATTATTATTATCAGTATTGTCATTATTATTATTATTGATATTATTATCACCAGTATTGTCATTATTATTATTATTATTATTATTATTATTATTATTATTATTATTATTATTATTATTATTATTATTATTATTATT